GCATACCTCTTGTCAGTCATGTGTAAGAATTTTTCAACTCATGGTTGATGAATCGTACTTGGAATACAAAAATACAAAAGTACAGTATAATGTTTGTAATATAAAAATACAACTAAAAGGACAGCATGAGTAAAGGAATTTCCTCTTTTTCCCCATTTTACCAAGTTTTTTTGTTTTTGGGTTTTTTCCTGCAACACGGGGATCTCCCTGAATTGCCAAGGCTGGTCTGAAGACTCACCTTCCCGAGTAGCTGGGACTACAGGTACATAGTACTGTGCCAGCCTTCTGGTTTTGTCAGTTTGAGTACCTGATGACAGCTAAAATCAGGAATAGTGTGTTTCAGACCTAGAGCAGGGATCAATACACTTTTCTGTAAAGGGCCAGATAGTGTTATGTTGAGCTCTGTGGGCCAGAGGATCCTTGCTTCAACAATTCAGTTAACTCTTAGTAGCAGCACAGAGGTAACTATGAACAGTACGGATGTGGAGCACTGTGGCTGTGTTCCAGTACAATTGCAGCGTGAAAACTGGTGGTGGGCTGGTTATTAGTAAAGTTTTTTGTTTTGTTTTGTTTTTTCAGTTGGAAGAAAAATGGAATCGATACACAGAGGCTGTGCAGGGTGCTGAGAAGATGCAAGAACACCTGCAAAAGTATGATTTAAAGCACTATACAAATAACTTGAGCATTTGTAAAGCAAATGAACAATATCGTTTGAGAAATATGTCAGATAATCAATAAATCTCCATCAAGCTGTGTGAAATTCTACCTTTGATAAAGTTTCTTGAATTGAGAAATTTAGGTCTGTGGATATAGTGCAATAGTAAGAGCATGTGCTTTACATATGAGGCTCTGGGCGCCATCACAACACTGCAGAAGAAGAATTATCCACCACCACAGCTAGAACCTCGATAATTACCAAATCATCTACTTTTCCAGTTTTTGAGATTGTGTATATTCTTTCAAATGTTCAAAAATTATGTGATTTTTAAAAATAGGTCCATGAAAATAATTATTTTTCTATAAATATTTTAGACTTCAACTTGAAAATTCCAGGCTGAAAAGTAAAGTCAAAAAGCAAGCAGGGAAAATTGAACACCTTCAGGAAAACTTGTTCAGTGCAAATTGGGTAAGTCAGTCTCTTCTGCATTTCTATCATAGTGAAAAGGAGTTTTTATTTCTCTAAGAGTATATAGGAATATGTTAGGCAATAAGAAAAATCTCATTGATAAAAATATCTGTCATAATCATATTGATACTACTTGCTCTACTTGTAGTGAAGTCCTCTTTATAGAAGGTAGTTGAATTTATACAATAACTTTGGCAGTAATATTATAATAAGAAAGATTGTGATAGTCTAAAATCAATATTTTATATATACCACATTTTGTTTATCCATTATCCATCGATGGACCTGAAAGTTATTTCTACATTTTGTTGGAAATAATGCTTCTCTGGACATTGATATATAATTACATATTTGGAATACTAGCTAATATTTTATAATAACTTTTAAAATTTCAGGATATTTACTTATGTAATCTAGAATTTTGAATTTCTCTTGGAATCAAAGCTTTTCCATGAGATTTTGAGTATAAATTACTTGTAATTTATATCCTTATCAAGAATAGATACTAGGTCATTAGGCAATCATTTTTTCCCAGAGAAACATTTATTTCTCTTCGACTGTAAGAAGAGGAAAAAGATGTCAGTAAAAAAGTAGAAATGGCTGTTTATCTTACAGAGTAACTAGCACTCCTAGCATTGTAGTTTCAGATTTTTTCCAGCCATTTGTGCTTACCAGCTACTCAAAGATGTAACAGTCCAGAAGATTGATGTACAAGTCTGGTGACAGTTTGCTGAGGTATAATGAAAACCATGTAACTGCTGAGCAAGCACTGCAGAGTCTCCTGTTGTTCCTGCTCTCCCATTGGGAATTAGGGTCACAGAATGCACTGTGTGTGGGGAATTGGAGCTGTGAGCCAGCTCCTTCCACCAACTGATTTTTTTTTGGTACCTGGGATTGAACTCAGGTCCTTGCACTTGCACAGCAGGCAGCGAAACCAGTGAGCTAAATCCCCAGCCCTACTAATTTCTTAACATCATGGCAACTTAATCCACACAGCTCCATTACACAGATACATGTTATGGCTTGTGTCTAGTTGTCCCCCAAAGCCTCATGTGGTCATGGGTGGGGCTTTTTCAGAGGTGGCTGAATCTAGTGTGTGATGCTGGGATTAAGGGTGTGTGATTACTAAGTTGGTCCACTGATTGGTTTGCCATAGTCCTGGGATCAAGGACTGTGATGCCAGGATTAAGGGTGTGAGTGTTACCCACCCCAAAGTTAGGTAGCCTGAATAAGATAGAAGGGACAGAAAGAGGCTCATCACTTGTTGCTTATTGCTGCTGCTGCTGCTTGTCTTCTCCTCTGAGATGTCTGTCTGCCATGCCGCCCTGCCTCGGAGCCAGCCAACTATGAACTGAAACTTCTACAAACTGTGAGCTAAATGAACCTTTCCCCCCTTAACTTGCGGGTGTTGGGTATTTTGTCTCAGCAACAAGAAAAGCAAACTAAGACACGTAATCAGGGGCACCAGAGTGTTCTGAGTATTGTTTCTCTGAAGAAACATGGAGAACTAATTTTTTCTAGATTTCACATAAATTAGTCCTGCTTTATTGCTATACTTTTCATATACATAACATAACAATATAATGTTTTATTTTCTTTCTTTTTTTTTGTTTTGGTACTGGGCATCGAACTTGGGTCGTTGCACTTGCGCAGCAGGTGGTGAAACCACTGAGCTAAATCCCCGGCCCATAACAATATAATGATAAAGAGTCTTCTGTGAATTAAAATGCCAGGAGACATACTCTTACATTAAGCATCATGCACAAATGTATTCAGGTGTTGAAAAATGGGTAATAGCACAGTATAGAACAGGAAAGTATTGGAAAGAAAACAATGGGAAACATTCTGACCCCAGTGAAAAAAGTAGCATTATAAAAGAAAAGAAGATAAATTATGCTGGTCAGTATTCTAAGGGTAAATGCCCCCTCCCCAAGATTAGAAAATGAATAAATTCAAAGTAACACCAATGTGACTCAATATGCAATGTGTAGGATTCTCCTCAGAAGTAATTCATACCGAATAATGGCTGGTGAGGCTTCTTCTATGAGAAGTGAACTGAAAGGAAAAAGTAAAAGTATAAATGACCCCTGAACAGAGGTCAGGGATGGTAATGGGGATGAGGTAATCAGAGTCAAAGGGTCTGATTTAAGGGCCTCTGAGAATTTGAAATGAAATGGGGGCAAGACTGAGCTACTGCCTTTGGGAGAGCAGTGGGGCTAGAGGAGCAGAGAGGAGGTGTGGACACTGTGAGCAGAGGCTGCCAAGCAGTTGGCTGGGTAAGAACGCTATTAAAATAAAAGTCCTTGATGGACCCTCACATTACTTTATTGGAATTACAGCAGGAAAAGTAGGTTTTAATGTACAAGAAGTGATAAAAACACTAAATTTGTAGGTGAGACCATGTGTCAAGGGAATATTAGAGGCCAGTGGAGCAGGAGAAACAAGATGATAGCCACAAGAATCATTCAAAAGTTAGATTTCTGTACATTACAAAGAAGACTTAAACTTTAAGGAAAAATGTTTACTAGGAAGAAGATGAAGAAGAGGAAGAAGAAAAGGAAGAAGAGGAAGAAGAAAAGGAAGAGGAAGACAGGATATAAATTCCTGAGAGAATCCTTACAGAAAATTAGTATCTTTCTCATGCCAAAGTCAAGTGAGGTCCAAAAATATAATGAAATCAGGTAGATACTTTCCAAAATAAAATATGGTTTATATAAATCTGGAATAACTTAAGTTATTGATGGAAAGGCTTCTAGGGTATCTTAAGAAACTAAGATGGAAATACAATGATTCTTTTTAAATTTTTTCATCAACGTTTATGTGTAAAACTTAACAAATTTTGGCAGTACAAATTTCAGAAAAGATAATTAATGAAAGTACAAGTTAATTTGAGCTATGTTAAGAGAAGTAATTAGTTTTGAAATCTGTACTTGGTGTTAGTTTTATACAATGCATTTAAACATTATTCATGAACTCGAGAAGTCATATTTTTAAGAAAGAAAAGTGAGTTTCTAGATTTAAAAAAAAATTTTCAAAGTCTGGAGGTGATAAAGAACAATTAAAGAAACTTTCTGAGTTAACAGAACCTCTGGAATATTCTTTGGATGAAGAAAAGCAGAAAAATGGTGAATTACAAAAAGAGCTAACTGTGTAAGATTTTTATATGTCAAATCTTATCCACCATTCATTAAATGATTTCACTAACTCTACTAAAGCTAAAAACAGCCTCTTTCTTTAACAACATTAAAATTAATCTTGATTTATCTTATATTTTGTTTGTACTGCTTTCTTTTTTTAGTTATAAAATCTATCACAGAATTACATTTCTTTTGCATGGGTACTCCCATGTGTACGTGAGGTATACATATTATTAACCTTCTGTTTCCTTAGTGTGTGTGTGCATGCGCATGTGTGTCTTCACAAATATATACTACATAAATAATGTACAGTCATCTCTCGATGTATTCAGGTTATTGGTTCCAGGACCCCCTCAGATACCAAAATCCATGGACACTCAAGTCTCTTTTATATCATGGTGTAGTAGTATTTGCATATAACCTACTCAATCCTCCCATATACTTTATATAATCTCAAAATTACTTACAATACCCAATATAGTATAAATGTTATATAAATCATTGTTATATCATTCAGGGTGTAATTACAAGAAAAAAAATCAGTATGTGTTCAGTACCGATTCTGAGTATTTTCAGTCCACTATTGGCTAATCTACAGATAGAAAGCAGTGACTATATATACGCCTCATACACATAAAATGTATGTATGACTTGCAGATGCGAATGTTTCTACCACCAGATGAAGAAAATGGAATGTTTTCCAGTGTCTTGAAGTCCTCAACATAGCTGCTTTTCTATTTATTTGTGGACAACTTGAGTTTGTTATGATTCTAATCAATATTTTTCTCTCCTTTAATTGTCTGTCTTTACATCTCTACATTTTGTCAACATTGAGCTAGGGAAGGCTGAAATTTCTTCTTAAAACAACCTTTTAGTCTACCCATTATTTCTGTTAATTTCCTTTCTCCTACACTCTGCCTCTTTTCTTCTCCAACTCACATTTCAAAGATCATACTTCCCCTTGTCTGTTTTTTACTTTGACCTTTTGTTTCCTTTTCTTTTGCTTTTTGTCTGAGATGGAACATATGTCCTTGCACATGCTGAATACATGCCCTATCACTGAGCTACACCTCCAGTCCACCTTCAGATTTTTGGGTGCACTTTCTTGTTCACATGGTTAAAAGGTGTCAAAGTGTATTTTTTTTATCTTTTTAAGCATTCCTGTATAAATATATTTATATAAGTATATTTTTTTCACCTTGGTTACTGGGATTTAGCTAACAATAATAAGTTCATTTTTATGTTAATATACCAAAGTGGATATTATTTATAAGGATCCTGTGTATGGTTACAGGGTTAGCTCTTTACCTGTCACACATATATCATAAACTTTCTGCATATTATTCATCTAAGATTATAATGGCATCAGAATGCTTTCAAAAGTGTTAGGTGGAAACAAATGAAAGAGGGTCATAATTTCTAGATTTGCTTCTTTTACGATAGAACATAGTATCTGTTTAAACAATTAATAGTCTTTTAAAACTTTGTTCATTCTTGCATATTTAAGAAACATTTAAAAATGACAAAAACAAAGTTAAATAACCAGGAAAATGCAGGCTTCCATTTTCATTTTTGTGGATTTAAAATCCAATGAATTGGATATTCCAATTAGCATGCTAATACACAAGGTAATTTTTAATTAGTTTTGGGAAGAAAAACTACTCAGTTTGGGGAACTATAAATCTCTCAGTGTGTTGAGCAGTAAAGTGAAGGGTTTTTTTTTTTACTTTATAGACTTAATATCAATGAAAAATGTAACGGTTTTCTATTAAAAAGGCATACTGCTGTCTTAAGCCCTGGCTGATGATATAAAACCAACCTATACACCATTACATGAAC